AATATGAGAAAATGGAAAAATGGAAACAAAGTCTTTGTAAATAGGGAAGATGGAGGGGTTGAAGGGAGGGCAGGGAAAGGGAGAAAAATAAGAACCAAGGGAGATTATGTAAAGGTGCATATTTCCAATGATGAATGTCATTATATTGTATACCTAAAATGTACTAATAAGAGGATATAGAAAAAAAAATTTAAAAAAAAGAAGACACCCAGCTGGAAGGCGGCAGAGGCAGGATTCGAACTCAGGCTGCCTCCTCTTGAGCCCCTGCCTCTACCTGGTCCTGTGTTCCCTGCACAGATGGGAGCCCTGGGCAAACACAGTCCATCGAGGCTTTGTCTCACGGAGATGCACTGCAGGATGTAGCAAGAGCCGTGTGTAAGGAGTCGACTCACAGTCGCTGTGGCCACAGAGGAGCCTGCAGCCTGGACAGCGCACAGGCTCTCTGGATGGAGGTTTTGATGCTAGCTTTGAAACCTTAAGTGATCAGCAAAAGCAAGTCCAAAAACAAATGCAGGCCAGGAGGGCCATTCCAGGAGGAATACAGCCTCAGAGAAAAGAGACAATGACTCCTGGCATCTCTCAGGAGAAGGGTAAATGGATACAAAGAGGCAGCTATCTACTACTATCTACTTAATTATTGAAGCTAACTGTTAGTGATTATATAACTGTGACACGTTAGGGATCACAACCATTTACAGTAACAGACAGAAATGGTAATTGTGGTGTTCCACAACACATTGTTGGATAATAAATTATTCCAGATACTGGTGGCGGAAAGTGACACTTTGTTACGCTCTTGGAGCCTACGGGAGGGATAGGAATTCCAGCACAGCGCAGATGGGTGACAAGCCCACTTCCTGATGTCTGGGGCCTCAGGTGGAGGCGATCTGACCATCTGGGGCTGGAGGGTCCACTTCGAAGAGGCAGCCACTGCCACCGCGATGGGCACAGCGGAAGCCTGGACTCAGGTGGGACTCCCGGCAAGAGCAGCGTCCTCTGCAGCACAGTGGCCTCAGGGACGTGGAAGTCTTGCACCGTGCACCTGTGTGCCAACGAACAAGGTGGAGGATGAAGACATCGCCTCGATCTGTCCTTGGCAGACACAAGGGTTGGCTTCACTGCATTCATTACACCAGGCGCAGCCTGTGCAGATCCAAGGGAGGGGCCCAAGAGCACCACAGAATTTAAAACCGTTAATAGAGTTCGCATCTCCGGAGCACTTCCCGTGTGCCTGACACTGCTGAGGGCCCGCCACATACACTCAGATGTCACCGCAGCAGAGTGATGTGTGTGCCATTATCATCCACCACTTACAAGTGAGCGACCAAAGGCTCGGGAGAGAGGTGCAACTTGTCCCCAGTCCCAAGCAGCTAACTTGGGAAATGAACCCACATTTGTAGGATTTAAAGCTTAAACTGTATCTCCTTGTTATTCTTTGTAACTCAGCCCTGACTCCTGGCCCATGGACATGGTAGGATCATTATAAATATTTGTGAAAATAAAGGCTCCTCAACTATGTATCTAAGGGAACTCACACGAGGCATTGTGGTCTGACAAGTCCACACTCTTGTCAGAAGCAGAATACTTGGGAGCCACCTGTGGGCTTCTGGTCTGACAATCACATGTCATACAATTGCTGGAGTCATTCTCCCTAGGGTGAGCTCATTCCCAGAGGTCTTTTTTCTGGATCCTGAAATTAGGGGCAACTATGAATTGGAAAATGCCTCTGGATCAAAGCTCTCTTGGACCCAGGAAGAAATATTACAAGTTGAGAACATTCATTCTTGGGAATAAGGAAAAATATCTTGATTATGTTGCATAATTTATGGCAATCAGAAGAGGAATCAATGGCATTTAAACACAAATGCCTATTTTTCATTTATCCATTGATCCAGGATATATACCAGGCACAGTGCTGGATTATGAAGATGCTCTGGAGTTGGACAGAAATCAGCCCTTCCCTCACAGAGTGTACAGTCTAGTGCAGCAGACCCACAGAAACTAAGTCCTTAACTCCACAAACATATAGTTAATATATTTCCAAAATATTGTGAAAAATGTCGATAAGGTAACAAGATAACACCCAGCAGCAGGGTAAGGGGTGTGTGTTGTGTGTCAGACCTCTCTGGAGAGGCAATGATGACACTGAAACCCAAAGCGGGGGAGGCAAGGAAAGGCCATAATCCCGTCTGCCTTTATTACTCTGTGGTTCCAAGCTCCTTTCTTCTTAGTTCAGACCCTGTTCCAAAAGGAATTAAGATCAAACATTGTTAACACACTAACGCAAGGGAAATCTGACCGGTCCTTAGTCCAGCGTGGAGTTTGTGCACCCGGACTCATAAGAGGTGCGCCCTCTCTCGATACATGTAAATCTTGAAAGCTAAGTGTTGTCTTTATTTCTCAGAGGGGGAGAAATACGAAGTCCGAGCCCAGCCCCAGCTGTCCACCTCAGAGGGCACAGTCATGAGTGTGTCCTGCAAGGCCTTGTACACTCATGCACAGGCCTGGTGGGCATTCTCCCTGTCTTCCAGAGCCTCCTTCAAGCAGCAGAAGTGGGGAAGGACTTTAGGACTTCTGGAGACATCATCTAAATTTTTCTTCTCAAAATCCAGCATTATTTACATTCACCTGGCCTTGGTGGTGGTGCTGGGGGTCTGAATTTACAGGCGAAAATGTAGTAAGATAATGGTAAGCCAGAGGGGAGGTGGGACACCTAGCCTGTATGCATTCTGCCGAGGTTATCTGCATGCTTGTCAATCTAGGGAAAGGGGTCTCTAATATTGGAGTTCCTGGCGTGTGGCAGGTAAGAGAAGGTGACATGTGGGAACTGAACAGGATCAGGGACTTTAAGTTGGTGTATTTTAGTAATTTAGTAATAAACATGTAGTTATTGTGCAAAATTATTCTTTGGAAATTGTTTCAGGCATATATATATATTTATATATATAATATAAAAATGCATATACCTCATAGAACAATTTGCTTTCATACCCAGCTGGGCATCCCTAACCTGAAATCCAAAGTGCTCCAGAATCTGAGTCTTTTTGAAGACTGATGTGATGAAACAAGTGGAAGATTCAGGCCCTGATCTTTTGTGGCTCAGTGATACAAACTTTGTTTTATGCACAAACTTATTTGTATTAAATCCCCTTCAGGCAATGTATAAAACGTGTACACAAAACATAAATGAATTTTGTGTTTAGACTTGGATCCTGTCCACAAGATATTCCATTCTGAATATAGAAGTATTCTAAAAATCTGAAAAAGTCTGAAATCCAAAACACTTCTGGTCTGAAGCACTTCAAATAAAGGATACTCAACCTGTAGGGATTATTTATTTCCTAAAATAGCGCCTAATAACCTAATGCACGTGTATTTCTTTCACTTATTTCTTATAATAACTGTATAAAATAATTTCTGATATAACATTTTACAACCAAGAAAGTAATAGCATACCAACTAAGACCTACCTGTGTTGTCCAACAGAACAGCCATTAGATACATGTAGCTGTTTAAATTCTTTAAAATTAAAGGAAAGTAAATAGGCAATTCCTCAGCATGTTAGCTCCATTTCAAGTATTTAATAAGACATTTCAGTCATTGCAAAAGTCCTGCTAGACTGTGCAGGACTGGCCATACCGTCTCAGTAGGCTCCTTTGACACGGGCTGCCACTTTAGGTGCAGTGTGTGCCGGAGGGCTGATTCTGGGTGGTAGGTTGGCTGGCAGCCAGGATCCACAAGTCACCAATAGTGCCCTTCCCCAGCTGTGGCAACTACACAGTGCCAAATGTCCCCTGGAAAAGGAGGATCAAAATCTTCCCTGTGAGAGAACAAATGCCCTAGACTAAGTCTTAAGGTTTACAATTTGCATGGGAACTTGGGTGAGTTGTGTTTAAAAGCAACTTTGGGCTTAACTTTCCTCATCAGTAAAAGAAGAGTTTTAAAAATAGAACATTTTTTCATGGGATTTTGTGAATATTAGATACTGCAGGTAAATAAATAGATTGGCAGAAAATAAAGGTACATTGAGATCTTTGTGTTACAGTGCCCTGACTCTGCCCTTATCCAAGGGAAATGGACACTGGCTGATGTGGCAATTGGCAGCTGGAGATTCAGGTTCCTGATGTACCTCCACCCTGCACATGACCTTGGGCTTCCAAATTTAGATAATTCGAGGACTGGAGGCAATGACAGATTTGATTGATTTGTTTAGACAACAAAGCCTAGAGACTTGGAAATTCTTGAACAAATAAGACTAACAGAATACAGAAAGCCGACTCCACTTCATTGTCTGAATGTTGTCAGGATGGACTTGTGGAAGGAAAAGTAGAAATGATCACTATGTGATATGCATATGTGCAGTTCCCCATGGTGAGTGTATTTATTACATATCGCAAACATGTACTGATTTAAAGGGAGAAAGACACACAAAGGAAAAAAAAGGGTGATCTTGAGAGAATGTGGCACAATAAGGTAATCATGAGTAAGAATTCTGATGGAAATAGGAACAAACAATTAGATTAACTTCAGTGAAAATCATAAAATATATTAATAGCTGTCAATAACTTAAGGAAAATTTCAAACTCAACAGTCCAAATAGGGCTTTGGCCCATCAGTATGAGGCTCAGATTACCATGTGACTAGGAGGACAGAATATTTCAATGACTATAATCCAGGTTTCCACCTCTTTTTGCCTTGAAAAATTAAAGGGAGGTGCTGTACTTTTATAGGGCCTACAGGAGAAATCAGCAGCAGCTTATGCTTCCCCTAAGATTTTGATGGTTTATATGACTGAGTTGGATATGACCTTCTGATTACAAAAAAATGATCATTATGTTAGAACACATAAACTAATACATAACCATTTTTTTACTGATAGGAAGAAAAATTCCGTAAGATTTACAAGTAATGCATCAAAGAGAAAAGTAGAAAGCAGTCACACGTTATTTAATGGTGGGGATAGATCCTGTGGACTGGATCTAAGGAATTTTGTTGTGTGAGCAGCAGCGAGTGTACTTACACAAATGAAGACACCCGTGGGCCATCAGCCATCGCTCTCCTGCGACAGTCAGAGTATGTGCCATCTGTCAGTAAATGAAATTTTTTGTGCACACGACTATAGTTCATTTCTAATTCTTTTTTATGTTTGATGGATGAATGAATCAGGCAGACCACAGTGTAGAAAGGAGAAACTGATATTAGCTGGGGAGAACTGTGTAGAAGACTCCTTGAGCCTGTTTGGTGAGCAGACAGGGCCATTTGAAGAGTTTTCCATTCAGATGTAGACCAACGTGCTGCCACACTTGGGGAAAAATGGTCCCTGCAAGGTGGTGAGCATTTCCTTTGCAAGCTTTTTATGCCGTTCTTTTTAAGTAGCTCTAGGGCAATGGATTCCTCAGACGCTGCTTAAATGATTACAACTTTTGAGTTGTTGGGACAGAAAGTCATGAAGCATTTTGAATCGCTGTTGTGGATGTGGTTTGTCCAGCAAAGGTCGTGGAGTGGGGTGTGGTCCTCAGCGGCAGAGCTGAGGGACCTGTGCCCTGAGGAGGTTCAGCTCTGCCTTCAGGGAGGTTAGTGCTCCTCGTTGGCGTTTAGTTTTCCTGACAGTGGCTTGCTATAAATGGAGCCAGCCCACACGTTTGTCCCCATCTGCTTTCTGACATGTTGGGACCCTAGGTCAGATAGGAGGGGCCACACAACCTTGGACCTTCAGTCTGGGAGCCCGAACTGGAGCTAAATAAGCCTTTCTTCTCTATAAAGTAACCAGCATCCAGTACTAGTTATAGCAATAGAAATTGGGCTATACAATAGTAAGAAGTTTAAAAAAAAACTTTAATAAGAAACGAATTATAGCCATTTCTTTCTACTTGAACAAGTCAAATTTATTATTCTTCTCATACCAATAACATAGGAAACTAGATTGTAATTTGATGTGTTGACATTTCTTTCTGGCTGGGTAAAGCATTCTGTCCTGCCTGTAATGTGTGTCTAAAATAAGTAGCCATCTAAGCGACATAGAACAGGCAGATTAGCCAACAAAGGAAATGAATAATCTTACAGGAAGAGAAAAACCATCATGAAAACTAATTTAATGTATTAGACATCTATACTTCGTAGGAACTTATCTCAGATCCTGGGGTTTAAAACAACAAGCTCGCATGAACCTGCATCTCTGTGGGTCAGGAATCTGGGGGCTCAGTGGGGTCCTTCTAGCTTGGCATCTCTCCTGAGGCTGAGGCAGAAGCACCCAGGACAGTGGCCCAGGTCACGACTGAGTCACGAGCTCCTCACAGTGCGTCTGCCTGCTGCAAGTCTGGAGTTGCGCATCACACGGGCATTTCCTTTTTGATTCACACGTTTGTGATAAACAACAATGCCGTTTATCTGGGGAGTTGGTACATGTACACGTCGCGTCTTGATCATTTCAATCCCTCCCTCCCTGCCTCCCCTTTTCTCTTACTCAAGACCCTCTTCCCATCTCCACGCAGTCTACTGCCTTATTTCCCACCATCTCTCTTTATTTTTCTCTTTAAATTATTTATACTCTGAGTGTCATGTAAGGGAAACCATGTGATATTTAACCCTCTGTGTCTGGTTTATTAGACCTAGCATTATGGTCTGAAGATCCATCCATTTTTGTATAAATGACTCAAGTGTATCTTTCTTTATGGCAGAGCAGAACTCCATTGTGTATAAGTACCACATATTCTTTATCTACTCGTCTGCTGATGGACACATAGGCCACTGTCAAGATTCATCTATTATGGGTTCTGCTGCTATATACATGGGTTGCCTGTATTACTATAATGTGTGACTTTAACTCTTTTGGGAAGATACCTGCTTTTAGTTTTTCGAGTCCTCCCCATACCAACACCCACGATGGTTGTACTAGTTTACATTCCAGGTGACCCTTTGATGGTGCTGTTCACGGCAGGGTAGATAAATTCCCCGAGAACACATGATTTAAGAGGCCGCGTGGGGAGGGAGCTCTGCGATGGACCTGGAGTGTCTTCGTAGGCTTTCATGATGCCATCGGTCTGGCCAAAGTGTGTTAGAGGTGAGTCAGTCGGTCTGATCCACCCTGAGGAGGAGGAACGTGTCCCATGGGGCACGGATTGCAAGAGGAAAAGCTCCTAGGCATCTGGGAGGCTGCCCAGACCTTGGCTTTCTTGGACGCTGACAGCTCTCTTCTCTGCCCACCTAAAGGCCACCATCTCTTCGGGCCTGTCCCAGAGACACTAGGAGGAGAAAGCAAAGAACAAAGGGTTCTAAATCATGTGTTGGTGCCTGGAATTTTCCCCTGTGACTCTTTTCCTTAAGTGATTTAAGGAAGAAGAAATCTGTTCACAGATATAACTTCAGTGGGCCCTCAGGTGGGCCCTCCAGCCTGACATTCAAACAACTTAGGTTACGGCCAGAATTTTAGTTTTAACTTACGACCAGAGTCTTGAGTTACTACCCAAATTCTGGCCACTGGTGCTTCCAGGTGGTCTCAGATACAGATTTAACCCTTAAAGAATCTGGAAGGAGCATAACAGCATCCTTTCCTGTGTGGGGTTCACTGAGAAATCCTAGGCCAATGTCCCTCTAAGCACCCTGAGATCTGCCTGTGTACAGGAGAGAGACTTCGAAGGCTGTGTAGAGGAGCCTGAGCCTTCACTGACCAGCTTGAGTTACAACCAGCCCTCCAGAACAAATTGAGTTTGTAAGTCGAGGGTCTACTGTATTCACCCAGTGTTGGCAACCTGGTCACTTCCATGGCACTATGTGAGGCATCAGAGCACCTGCTTTTAGCTCAGCTTCTGGAGGAAACTGCATGATCTTCAAAGTATAGGACATGTCCCCTCCAGGGGCAATAATGTCCTCAAGGGGGCAAAAATCAGCTCCCAGATGGCAGAAGTTCTTCTCTTAAAGTAGACAGCTCAGATGTACACAGACTACATCTCTGGAAGTAAAATTTCAGGGGAGGAGGGTGAGAAGAGAAATGGCTTCAGAAGTTCCGTGCAGGGCACAGGACCAATGAGCAAAGGGAATTTGAAGGGAGGGAAGGCTTAGAGAAGGGGCGGCCTGGGTCCCCGATTCAGGGCCAGGGCCGGGACAGGAGGAGAGAGTGGATGGGCTTCCCCACTTCCCACATCTTGGGCCGTAGTTTCACTCCTCAACCTGATTTTACCACATTTCTGCCTTTCAGGGATTCCTCCCAGCTGATGGTCTGTAGAGTTCCTTTCTGCTTTTGTGGCACAGTTACATATTCATTTAAACACATTTTCATGGGGTCGGTGGAGAAGTCATAGCTCATGTTCAGTTTACCATTTGCTGTGGAGTAAGGAGAAATGGCTCCATCTTCCCTCCTACTCCTTCCTCGAACAAAGGTCGTCTGTGAGTTGAAGTGAGGACGAGGAAGGACTAGGAGGTGACCGGGGACTCGTGGGGTGCAGTAGGGGGTATGTCTCCTGTGGGGCCCACAACAGTGTGGTCCCAGGGACTCTGCTTATCTGGATTCCCTGCTCTCCTTTTTTAGCATGAAGATTTGTATAAATGAATTCTTTATGTTTGATCCCATGAAATATCATCTCTATCTTCACAATAACATCTTCAAGAGCAGCTGCCAGAATTGTACATCTGTGGGCTACGGCTTTGAGTCTCCTGTTTGCAGTTCAAATACTGAATAGATGAGCAAGCGTGTGAGTTGCATACCCTCTCATTATTGGAAGAACTGACTCCAACCCGAGTGGGTAAATATGGAAGCAGGGATCCAGTCCTTGTGAGCGCCAGGCCTTAGAAGGCTCTGAGGACATACTTAGCCCAGATGACAACTTTAAGTAAATTCATCCTGTTACGTGTGGCTACCTAAAACACTCATTTTAACGCTTATTCAAAAATGGCTGAATAATGGCAATGTTATAAGTTGAAAGTAGCCAGGAGATCAATCATCTTTAATGAGAAGCAAACTTTTGGTTAAATCACATTTTAATCTATTTTATGACATTTATTAAATAGTTATCATTGATTTTTTTCACCATTTTCTAAACCCGAAGTATAACCAAATTTAAAATTGAAACAAAGAGTTAGTGTCTGTTTTCTTATGACTTAGCCTGAAAAACAAAACATAATTTTTTCTGTTTTTGAACAAAGTGTTTCACTAAGATGTGGCCAGCTCACAGTTTTACAGGAATTGGCTTCATCTTACCGCTTTTCCTGTAGAGTCTGCAAGAATTCCTAGTGGAATTGGCTCAAGAAAATCAGAAATTCAAGTTTATGATCATAGGAAAAAGCACACAGCAGAAGCTGGGGTAGAAGAATGAATCAGGATTAATCCACGGTGTCCTGGCTCTTCCATTTGAGCCTAGTTTTGCTAGGCTTACTGTGAGATTTTGAGAAAAATATATAGATCCAATTTCTGAACTAGAAAATGAGTAGACCAGACAGGAGGCCTGAGTCTTAAGGGGAAGGAGAGATGGAGGGGAAGAATCAGGAGAGTTGGGAGGAGCTGGGAAAGAAGTGGAAGAGTCAAGGTCATCGGAAGACTCCAGAGAAGAGCCTTGGCAGAAGAATCGAGGGAGAAGAGAAGAGACTGTGGAGGAAGAGCAAGCGGTGGGGAAGGGACACTCACGGTTTGTGGTCCTGATCCCTGGACTGCTGACTTGAAGAGACAGGAAGTGAAGATTGCTTGTTTTCCAGTTAACAACGTATTACCCAGCTCCTTCCAAAGGACTGGACCGTGGCTAGGAAAGCAAGGGACACTCTAGAACTTCTCTGAGACAGAGAATTAACAGCTTTAATTTCTGCATCTTGTTCTGCTTCCAATGCCATATAGTTTTCAAATACTAAATTAGAAAACTGATAGAAAAAAATACACGAAGTGAATGTGCTCTGTCCTCCACTGCCTCCCAATCACTTTTGGTGTTTACGTGTTTCTGTGAATCACTAACCTTCCTGGTAATCCTCAGGGACAGGCCGCATTCTGGGAACAGACTGGAAATGTTGTTTGACTGTGGATTAGGCTGTGTTGACAAATAATGTGGTCTGTCAGATCCTTCACAAAGCACAGCCACCTGCAGAAAATGACCCCCGCTGCCCACCATAGCTGCATCTCATCTGGCACACGCAGGCCCCGCTGGGCTTTGAGGAAAAGCAGCCGCAGAGGAGGACCTTATTTACATGTCCCTGCGGTCAGGCATTCCCACAACAAATCAGCATCTGAACCCACCAGTAAACAAATAGAATAAATAAGCAAATAACCCTGCTCTGGATCCTTTTCTCCAGGTCTGTGCCCCTGAACATCTCTCTTTTCTCCAGAAGCAAACTGCGAGGCCAAAGATAAGGATGTGACTTGTACACACCCCAGCTCACTGGCAGTACACATTATCGATCTGCCAAAAACTGTGAAAAGGAAGCATGCTGAATTCAGCTTCCCTAGGACGGCGTTCAGCTGGATGTCAGAGCTCTAGTGGGGCTAGTAAAAGCTCCACTGTTGCTGGCATCTGCAGTCCGAGCAAAGAGACAGCTGTAAAAAGCATCTTCTGGCCAAAACGTGATTTGGGAAAGGTCATTTTATTACGTGATTTATTTATATTGTTTCTCCATGGTACAAAGCGTTCTGGTGTGTACACAGGGCCAAGCGGAGGAAGAGAAAAAGTTAAAGAAAACCTCAGGCCCACAACTCATAGGCACTGTATGAGCCACGCAAACTGGGCTGTGTATTCTGTGGCTGCCTTGAACTTGCCTTAAAAAGGAAGTCCTACCATGACAAGATCGATCTCTCGTACCCTTTGAGGCTCCATCAGGAGAAAGCATAATTAGAAATCGTCTCGTTTTTATAATTAGCAAGAACAGTCACAATTTGCTCCCCCTTTCAGGGAAGGGAAAAAATCAACTTAATCAAATTCCTAATGGCTTATCTTCTTCACATGGTATGCTGCTATTTTAAAGGTTTAACATTTTCTTTTCTGGATTTCTTCTCCCAAAAAGGCCTGGGCTAGTTACATGCTAAGCAGAGGTACCGTATTTAATATGGAAAGTTGAATTTCTTTTTAAATGGAAACACATGGGCAGTTTTGTTTATCTTTACTTGGCTTTATCATTGTGTCCTAAATATGAGGGTGGGATTTTTAATAACAAGTTTGTAATGCTGACAAGTAGGATTTATTGGATAAATACTTCTTTGACCATATATTTTATTTAACCTCCCCTGATGGGAAAGCCAAGCCAAATGTTTTTTGTTTTTTGCTTAATCATTACTCCTGTTCATATACTTACAGCATACCTTAGACACCGAAGCTGAGTGTTGGAAAAAGAGAAGCAAACGGTTTCCCTGCCTTCAGAGTATAGCTGGTGCTGAGACTTTGCTAAGCCTCCCTTCCACTTGCTGAAAAGGACACTGCAGAAAAGAACAGAAAGGCAAATTTACTGAAAGAGTAAAGAATACGACTTGATGTGCAATGGTTCCACTCAACCTAACACACCACAGGCATCTCTTCCTCCTTTGCTTTGACAGGTGGTGACTTTCAGCATCCTCTGGCTAAAGTAAGCTATTTGGTAGTGCAGATTCTGTCACCGGATCTTTAGAAGTGGCTCGCTAGGGATGCATGAGGTGCAGCCCCTGTTCTCCAATCATGTCTATGAAATTTGTGTTGACTGACTTGCCTCTGAGATGCTGAAGTCTGATGCCTCCATGGAATTCCTCTCCAAGAGAGATTTAAAAATTGAATGTCACGAACAGTCACACACTGTTGGAAATTTGGCTCCAAGTGACTTCATTTTCTCAGCAGTTTTCCTTGAAGAAGCTATTGTTTAAATTAGGAAAAATTTTTATTTTATTTATTTATTTATTTATTTATTTTTGGTACCGGGGGTTGAACTCAGGTCCTTGCGCTTGCGAGGCAGGCGGAAGAACCACTGAGCTAAATCGCCGGCCCAACATTTTTATTTTAAATCAAAAAACTGAAAAGTTAAGTATCAATATTGCTTGGAACAATTCTATGAAATATTGAATTCTACTGTCTTGAAAACTATTTCACGCCGGCAGGGCCACTTTTAGAAGCCAAGGTCACTTCTTAGAGGCCGTCTGTGCTTCCTGGCGCACTGCATTATTTTCCACAGAACACAGACCCAGTGCAGAACGGGTCAGTAAGTTCCCTTTGCTCTTCTTTAGAGAGGACCAATCATGAAAATGTGTCATTCAAAGTCGGGAGGACCACTGGGAGCAGTGGCACACACCTGTTAGCCCAGCTACTTGGGAGGGTGAGGCAGGAGGATTGCAAATTCAAAATCAAACCTGGCACTTTAGCAAGACCCTGTCTCAAGGCATTAAAAGATCTGAGGACGCAATTCCGTGGGAAAGCACTTGCCTAGCATGCACAAAGCGGTGAGTTAAATCCCCAGTACCTCAAAAGAATGAAAAACAGAAGCTGGGCTTGGTGGCACACACAGCTGTCATCCCAGCACTCTGTGAGGCTGAGGCAGGAGGATCCCAAGTCTCAGCCCAACCTGGGCAACTTAGCAACTTAATGAGACCCCGTCTCCAAATAAAAGTGCTAGAGATGTAGCTCAGTGCAAGGGCTCTGAGTTCAATTCCTAGTACAGAGTAAAAGATAAAAAGACCATTCAGACCATTCGAATAGTTGGAATAGAAATAATAATGTATGAAAGGCACATGTGTTTAGACAAAATACTCAAAAGGCAAAAATAATGCCATGGACTCCACCAAACTCATGCCAACTATTCTGCTTAGCCCCCAAACATATAAAGCAAACAATGTCAGAGCTGTCTCAAAGACTAATCAATCTTTTAGACTATTGAGTGTTTGCACAGCTTGTAAAACTGTGTCAAAACTCGGAGCATGCTAGAGGCTGCGGGCTGGCTATTTCACTAGCCAGAGAGCCCCGCGTGGTAATTCAATAACTAGGTCGTTTGGGATCAAGTCCAAAGCCAGGAGATTTCCTAGCACTGCCCCACTGTGGTGGTAATGCTTCCCACTGATAATCTAAGCACGTGCCAATCAATCAGAGTCCAACTAGCTAGAGAGGCCACTGACTAATGAACTTACAAAAGTAGTACTGTACACGTGTTCATTATTTTACAGTTTAGAAATAAGTTCTCACAAGTCTCAGTGCCTTACATTGGAAGGGAGCTAACACCACCTTCATTTTGCCAATAAGCATGTAAGTGTCAAACAACTACTCAATCTGTAAAATTCAGAGTGGGATGCAGCTCAAGTCTTTCGTGAGTTGGAAGCAGCGCTCTGTGGGTAAACACGCCTAGTGTTTAGTTGTGTTTCCAAAACTTTCCGAGAAACCTCAACTAAGCCACTTAACTTTCCTGACCCTGCCTAGGTTTCCTTGTGTTTAATAGTGCTAAAATACAACTAAAATTCAATGCTGTGGGTGTCATAAGAGACCAGTGCTGGGTACTTCAGTTAGGTTGGAGGAAACCCACGGACATTCTGGCTCCTGCAGGCTACCTATGTTTCCAGGTTTCCACGAGCCTTGTTTTTAATACAACAGAGCCTTTAAGACATAGAGGGAAATTCGAGACTATTTGAGAGTAATCAGGATTCCACTTCTAACTTTCTCTTTCTGGTTTCTCTAGTGACTTACAGTAAAGTTTAGTCGACCTTCCAGTAAAGGCTGCAGCTTGTTTGAGGGAATATGCAAGGGGCAGATTAGAGAAACTGGATTCACAGTGGCTGCCAGGTGGCAAATGGATTCCAAACCCAGGTCCTCATGGCTGGAGCCCCCTTCACAGGGTGGCTGCTGGCTGATTCGGGGCAGAGCTTCAAGCTATTGGCCGACAAATTTCAGTATGAAGCAAGCAAACTTCACCCTGGGCTCAAGAGCAGAGCAGGTAGGAAGGGTGTAAGGACAACTCCAAGAAGGAGCTGGGAAGAGACCTTTGGAGTTAGTTAGGCTTTTATCAAACACAAGTGAAAAAGTGCCCTGATATAGCTGGAAGCCCGGAAGCAGAAAAGTTTCCTAAGACATATTAGCTTATCTGTCACCTTCTGAGTAAGGTAAATCAGGGTCCTGTAAAAGGTACTCAGGTTTCTTAAAAGTCATTGTCATTTCATAAATAACTTTTCCAAAACAAATCCACAAAAATCCCATTTGCACTGCCTTGTCATGGAAACAACATATTCCCTTGGCTTTGTGTTTTTAAGTTCACGTGAGCCTACTTCCTTCATGAAGATCTAGTGATGTGTTTATCTTGTCCTTACCAGAGGCCCATTAGTATATTAAAGTTCAGCATCTGAGAACAGTTCATCCTGGTGTGCCTGGGGCAGAGAAGGAGGATGACAGCCATTGTCCAGGACTTTTCTTGTGACATTTACTCCTCCACTCCTGGGCAGAGGATGCCAGTACCTTGGTCTACCCTGATGGCTGGGCCCATATTTCGTCCTCTGTCCTCAGAGATGTAGGGGCCACCAGCAGGCAGCAGTCTATAAAACAGGTCAGTCCCTTCCTGCTCCTTATTGGAAAGAACAACATGAAGACTGATGGAAGAAAATGTAGGAGAGAGAAAAGCATTAGGAAAATTCTCCCAGGGCTTGGAAATAAGGCAAACCAGTCACTTAGAGCCCTTTGAAAGTCATGCCGTTCCAGCTAGCACAGGGACGTCATGGGTCCCCTAGGGCTGTGAGGTCCAACACGGCACTCCCTGGTGATGTGTGGGTCTTCAAAGTTAAACCCGAATCAGGCAAATAAAATGAAACACTCCGCTCCTCAGTTCCTCTAGCTGCTTATGAAGGGCCTGGTGGCTACACGAAGCCCATGGGCATCAGTGAGTCAGGGCAGAGGGAGATCATCTCCACCACTTCAGGAAGCCCCTCGTGGTGGTGGGGGGCGGCTAGCTTCACCCTGGTGCTGACTGAGTTTTGGCGATTACAGCACCAGCTCTATAAAGCCAGGTGTTAACGGGTGGCAGGCTGATAATTACAAATGGTGTTTGTTGCCTAGCAATGTAAATAATTTTTGTCTAGAGGAAAAGATAACCCCACAGGTTACAGTCTTTGTGTCTGAAGAAAATCAACCCGTTTTGGATCTAAATTTGCAATCTTCTTCCAGCATTTTAAAACTGAGCAAATGTATGTCAGTTTGTCCTACGCTCCCCATCCAGCTTTGTCATCCTGCTATTTCTCAGATAAGGAAACCCTTGCCATATGCTCACTATCTGAGAGTATTACGCTTGTAACTTTTCAGAAATTATGCTCTGACCAAAGCATTGAACAGATCACCCAGGAGGAATGTGATTTAAACAGGGCCTAAATTCGCTGTGGAGCAAGTAGTTCTCCTGGCAAGCTTCTGAACTTTTCTAACGACTCAGCAGAGTGGCGTTGGGATGGAGACCAGGCTTTGAATACTGAGCCAGCGTCCCGTCCATGAGGCGTGCTCAAAATAATGCACAAGAATAAGGAAGTTGAAGTTCAACACAGAGAGAGAAAGGGGGGTGGGAAGTTTCCTCTTTACAATTTGTATCATAGTTTGATTTTTTAAAGTAGTGAGCACATAGAACTATATGGCTAGAAATAAAATAAAACAAAAGTTGCATATATAAGAAGTAATTCAATATTATTGTTTAGATGGTGCTGGCGTCACACAAACCAGGTTTAAAGCCAGCACTCTGGTGTGTGCTAGCCTTGTGACTTGGGCCGGTTATCCAATTTCCTTCAGTCCCAGTTCCCTCATGTATGTAATGGAAGTTACAACACCACTATCACAGGGCTGTCGCAATGCTGAAATTGAACAATGCCTGGCACGTGGTAAGGACTCGGTAAATGTCGACTGTTACCCTTCTCACTCTAGGAATTTAGGACCACCGAATCATTTATTGAAAAGGTAACATTCAGTGTCTATCATCTGATCTTGCAAATTCATGGCAATTCTGCATTGTCCTCAATGATTGATATCATTTTAATTTGAACATAATCCCCTCTTAGTTTCTTCCAGCCAAGACGTGCCGCGTTTGTCTTGGCTTTGCCTGTCTTGGGTAAGTGTGGTGTATTATCAGGATCACAAGCCCTGGATGTGAGAGGGTGGCACGTGGGGTGGACGTCAGGCTATGGGTTTAACTTTCCTGAAGACCAAGAGCAAAAGTCTTTTCAACCTCATTTTATTTGACTTTGAGGGCTGAAGCACGTGAAAGACACCCACACTCACAGAAACACAAACACAACTACCACCAACACCCGCACGACACACAGTGACCAAACTTCCCCCCAAGCTCGCCTGCAGTTTGGATAATACTTTTTGATAAAGGATCACATGGCCACACCTGGGGCCAAAAGTTGAAATCAATCACATCTGAACCAAGGGGATTGATCATGAAAATGAGGGAGGGATGCTGCCCCTCCAGTGGGCTGGGTGAGTTCTCAAGCAGAGTAAAAATGTATCCCCATGCAAAACCCTATGCATAAATACAGCAGAAGCATTCACAATAGCCAAATGCCCATCGACTGAACAGAGAAAGAAACTAGCGTAGCTGTACAATAGAATGCTGTTCAGTGATTGAGGGGAATGAAGGACTGCGTCTACAACAGAAGAATCCTGAAAATAGCACCATGAAGGGAGTCAGTTAAGGAGGCTGCATACCATATCGTTCCATTTTCATGAGATGTTTGTGTAGGCAAATCCACAGAGATGGGAAGCAGTGGGCAGGGCTGGGAGGAGAGGGAATGGGTGACTAACAATAGTGACGGGGCCTCGTTTGCGGTGATGGCACCTCTCTGGAATTCGATGGTGGGATCGCTACAGAAGTCTGTGAATAGCCTTCGGATGCCAAATTTGTATTTGAAGGGGTGCCGTTTACAGCACGTGAATTCTGTCTCACTAAAACAAGAACACACAGTTGCTTCAGCATCTCCAGTAGAGTAGGCAGATGACGATCCTGGCAGTGCAGCTAGATTCGAAGGGGGTTAATGGTGAACTCCTGACAGGATCCTTTAATGCTATTTTAAATTAATATTTAATAAAAGGAATAGTTAATATTATGAAAAGACTCCTTCCTTGGGCATAAACAGGCTTGGTGGGAAAAGCCCAGTCAGTGGTTTCTGGCCTCTGACCCATTATGTTGACCTACTTGTTCAGTCTCCACCCCGAGCACTCTCTTGGGGCTCAGCGGCGTTCAGGAATGCCCAGTACTCAGTCAATGGTAGCTCCATTGCTATCAGCACTGCTCCAACTCTAGGTTCTCTGTAAGGAGGCTGACTCCTAGCATTCCTTAGGCTTTTGGGTGTGTTTCAGGATCCTGGCAGCAAACAGGCTGCATTACTGTCCCCAAGGCCGGTTGAATGATCGGCTGCCGAAGAAGGAAGGTTTAGGCATGGGGTCAGAAACTTACAAGATGTGGCCAGGTGCCTACAGTCCAGCAGAGGGGAGTAGCTACCACCTCGCCTTGACTGGAGAGATATGGGAAGGAGTATTGTTATAGACCTGAATCCCAGAGAGGGCACAATTACTGCAACTTCTATCCCTCTGCCTGACTCTCTGCTCAGGGTCCATCTCTACCCAGTCTAAAGATAGCTGACCGAAGCCTCAGGCATGAGGGCAGCAGGGCTCAGCCTCCTGGGGTACAGAGCAGCAAACGGCAGCTTGAGGGGAAGAGTGACCCAGGAAAGCTCCCTTGGCCAAGTCTGGAGCCACAAGTGTAATCACACGAGACTTAGCTGTTTGCTTCTGGTGGCTGAAGTTCTCTCCGGAGAGGATGCCCCTCACTGCCTTCTGGAAACTTCCTTCCTCTGGTTGGCAAATGCCACCATTAAAACACAACCTGAGCAGGTTGGAGGACACGTACAGACAACTCTTGCTACTTAATTTCAAAGCTGCCGCCCTTTGAACAGCATTGAAATCTGTTTCTCATAGAAAGCAAATTAGTTAATTTCCAATGTGCTCTGTGAATACCAACAGACCACCCAAATGTTTACTTGTTTTAAGCTGTCCTCCTAGTGAGGTTTTTTTTTTTTTAAATGTAGCTGTTTTGAGGGAATTGAGTGGGGCATTAATGCATATACATTTTCTGTATTAAGGGCCAGTTCCACATTAAAACATTGATTATTCACTTAGTGAAGGAGAGAATTTACCTATCACAGAAGACCCCTCAGGTACTGCTCTTTTCTACAAATCTACTTCTAAGCCAAACAGCATCCCAAATGCACTCTTACTGCACCTCTCTTCCCCGAGTGAGAAAGGGATCTGGGCGGGCATCTGCTGTGCACTGGTGTCGAGCACCAAGTCTCCTGGACCAGAAGGGCAAATCCACAATTCTAGAGCTGAACAACCTTGTGGAAAAAAAATCTTTTGCCTTTGGCACTTTATAAAGGTCAAGCTTTGGAAAAAGTCGGCAGGGCAGTTGGGGCCTGGGACTTTGGAGTGCAGCAAAGCAAGACCCTTGACGAGGCACCCGATACCTGGCTGAGTTTCCAAGTTCTCCGCTTCCTCACTCCTCAGCTCCCCAGGGACTTTCTGGAAACAGAACAGCCTTTGTGCAAACCCAGCTCATGGTAGCTCGCCAAGAGCAGAGGTGGCGAACTTACGGCACGCAGAGCCCTCTCCGCCGGCACACACGCAAGTCACCCCAGCCCTGCCCAGCAGCCAAGGATCAGATCACAGTGCACACGGAGCCCTGCACACCCTGGGGAAGGAGCAGCAGGGCCAGGCGATGCCGTCTGAAGCCAGCTTGGGGGGCTGTGACTCCTCAGCGCTCTGGCTTGACAGGGCAGTGTTTGGGTTTACTTGCAGTGTTGGCACTTTGCAGTAAGTCAGTGGGTTTGGGGCTGCAGTTTGAGCACTCGGTCTCTAAAAGGTGTGTCATCACTGACCTAAGAATAGGGTATTCTGCTAACTTGAGTGTTTCGATTGTTAGCAGCAGAGCGAAGGAGTGTTCCAGGAACCCAAGCGGATGATAAACCAAAGAATACATTTTTATTTGCTAGGAAACCACCACCTGGTTCATTTGATCCTAACAAAGTCAAGGATGTGAATATCTACTTTTCCTAAACTTGCCCGTACATTCCCCTCAATATGCTCTGGATTCAGAGCAATGGCCTTAAACAATTGCTGTTGCTCTGGACTGGTTGACAGAATGGATGATGCACAGTGCCGGAGTCACGTCCAGGGCTGCTCATGCTGGGCAGTGCTCTACCGTGGGGCTGCATCCCCAGCGTGGCTGTTCTGGTGTTTCTGAATGGAAAAGCCCCATGTTCGCTGTTCTGAGAAGTCTGGGGATGGACTTGAGATTGCTGAGGGCACAGAGTTGTTAGAACTTTGAAAGTAGCAACATCCACTTGGAGTCACTGAAGAAGGTTTCAGTAGAAACTTCCTAAAGAACCAAGGGCACGGCTCTGAAATCCAGCTGTGACATTCATTTATTGGGCTCCTCCAACTGCTCCCCCCCCCCTAAAAATCTCCTATTAGAGTGCAAGCCTTACCAAGAAAGATACCGTTGGGAGTGATGAGATTCCTGGCAGTTGGAGAAAGCTGTGGAGAACAGTAGTTTCCCGGTGGTGGGAAGGAGGGTATTGAGGCAGATGCTACGGTGTATGCCTGTGATCCCAGTTAGCCAGGAGGAGCACGAGTTCAAGGCCAGCCTGGACAACTCAGGGAGACCCTGTCTCAAAAAATGAAAACGTGTTGGGGATGTAGCTCAGTGGAAGGCCCTGGGTTCAGCTCCAGTACAGAAAGCAAGCAAGCAAGAAAGGAAGACAGAAAGAGGAAGAGAAGGAGGGAGGAAGGGAGGGCAGGAGGGAGGGAAGAAAGAAAAGAAAGAGAGAGAAAGGAAGTTAGGAAGGGGTACTGAAGGGTGCTTAAAGTACCTGTGCCTCTGTCACAATTTTTCTGAAGGTTCTAAATTCCCTTCAGAAGAGAGAAGCTTACAGTTCAAAGACCCACTCATCTGTGCGGGCTTTGGCCAGCCTGTTAAACTGTCTTTGCCTCAGTGTCACCATCATTAAAGCGGGGCGATACTTCTGCTTCGCTAGGTTTTGTGAGGAGTATATGACGTAGTTCATGTCAAGTTGCAAACGTGGTGGTTAGCACAGGGCAGGCGTTCAGTAAGTGGACTCTGACGGTGGTGATCATGGCAATGGTCCCATCTGCACCCTACAGAGATGAACAAGGAAGAACGCTAAGACGTGTGCAGAGACAGGAACAAGGAGGAAGAAGCAGACGGCGGGAACATCTCATGGCAGCTAGGCTCCGTTTCACTACTTTGATCCCATGCTGGGTGTAGGGAGGCTTCACAGAAGAAACTTGGTTGCTTTCTACAGAGCTGATCGGATTCAGAGGAGCAAGGGAGGTGCAGGGGAACCCTAAATAGATGGAGCTGTCTGATTCTTCAGGTCCCTCCCTGGGAGAATGTTTACTCAGCTCCAAGGAAACGGTTTTATTTGGCAGATTATGATTTCAGAGCTTCTTGCATCTGAATGCTAACATTTCCTCTCTCCTCTGCCTGCTTTGTAACTTGAAAAATATGGCCTTGTGTGTAGCGTTTGCTGTGGCCTCTGGTCGGCCTGATGTTTAGGGGGTGTGGGTCCTACACAGCGTCAGGGAGTGGCGTGGGGCAGCAGTCAGAGAGGACAGCGGGAACAGGAGGAAAAGGTCCTGGGGTCACTCTGAGACGTGTGCGGTTTAGTTTGATGTTAGTCCTTGTTTGCTTCCATGAGGGTTTGCGGGGGAAGGAAAAGGGGGTGGATATGGCTTTAGTGCTCATGAGGAAGACTCAACATTCCACTGTTTTGTGCTATTTTCCCCCAAATCGGACAAAGATGCCAGCACCGATTATCAGTCTATTGTTGCCTTAACTGCCATTACAGACCGGACACCAAGCAAGAGAACGGTGAGGGCTACACTTCTGCATAACCCTGCCCATCACCATGGTGACGACCAGCTAGGGCCGTTCCAGTTAGGTCTTATTTTCAGGGAAACACAGGTTACTGGTACTGGGGATCAAACTCATTAAGCAATAACATTCATTTCAGAGGCAGTTTCTTTTTAGATCCAACTGATCGTGTGATTTTCTTGTGGCATGTTAACATCTTAGAAAGAAATTTTTTTCTCTAGATTAGTATTGCATTCTCACCATTGGCCACGAATACCATCAAAGAGGGAGATAAGGAGAGAGGAGAAATGGATGTAGAACTGCGCTCTGGAGGTCACCTCACTGCCACCTGTGTTGTCATCCTTGATTTCCTACCATTTTCTCCTAGGGAAGCTCCAGCTTTAGGGGCGACCATCTTTCAAGCTCACTGTAGCACTGTGTTAGTGAGGTCCTCCCACGACACTCAGAGGCTGCTGTGTCTCAGAGATTGCCTGAAGAAAGGGTGTAGAGTCCAGGAGTAGATTCAGCTCCAGGGAGTGAGGCTGCACCGTGGCTGTCTCCTTTCCACCCAGCCTGCTGTTTCAAGATCCCTTCAAATCTAAATGCACATGTCCTGGAGCCCTCTTATTCATTAGATTTTCCAGACTTGCTAGAAATCGGTTTAGGCTTATCTAGTATTGCAGCATAGATCTGCAGGGTTACAATTACCACATCTGTTTCTCCTGGGAATGGAAATCCCCAACAAGACTCTATATAAAGACAAACAGCCTGCAGCCAACGACTGCCCCTTGGTCAGCAGTACGGTCAGTGATGCTCTCCCTCCTGTTTCCAGTCAGGGTGATAAAAATGCAAAACAAAGTAAATGCAAGGCATCTTCTTGGAAGTCTGAAGTTGCTTACAAGTAGGAAGTTGTTTTACTCCTATTATCTAGCATCATTACTAATAGCACCTCTGCTGTCCCTAAAATGGTTGCAATTTTAGTGACAGAATATTTGATCACCAAGCTTAAGCAAAGGTTATGCTGCTATACCAAAAAGACCCCAAATGCAGTGGATTAGAGAGTGTGGCGTTTCCATTCCTTCTTGTGCAGCAGTCCTGAGATGAATGTCTTCCAGGCAGGCAGTCTTCCTCCCACAGGCTCGTCCAGGGACCAGTGCCTTCCGTGCTGGGTCCCTCCGTCTTGGAGGTTGCTTGCTTAGCTGGCTTGTAGTTCAGTGTCAGCTCCCAGGAAGGGGGAGAGGAAGTGTGAAAGGAGCGCAGGCAAAGGCCGAAGGCCCATTTCTTTTGGCGAGAGCACAGGCGTGGAGCCCCGCCTCGTGTCTGCCTCTAAGTTCCTCGCCGAGCAAGCCCGAGGTCCTAGTCTGTGTCGTTAGTAGGGGATACAATGCTGGAAGCGGCAGAAGTGGGTAACGGTAGAACACAGCTAAGGGAGGTGCGGAAGGCAGGGTGTGGTCCCGAGCTGGCCGGGCCTCGGTATGAAGTGTGGCCAGCTGCTCGTGCGGGTGTCTTCTGAGAGGCTGGGCCAGCTGCCCAGGAGGAAGCAGTAGTATTCTGTGGTCACAGCTGTAGCAGTTAAAGATCCATTCATTGGTTGGAAGACTTATTTCTAGTTTTCCATTCTCATGAAAAAAGATGCCATAAATATTCACAAACACGCCTTTGTAGGAATAGGCTTGTGTTTCTCTTGTAAACCCAACAGCAACGTTTCAAGGTAGATATTAATATGAAAAAACTAGATTAAAAACTAGCGAAGCTAAGCCGCTGGCCTAGTGTCAGTGTGAGTGGTGAAAACTTGGATTTGAAACCAGTGCCCAAGGCTGTGGTCTTTGAGAAGAAGACACAAAACAGAACCCAATGGCTACATTACAATAAAAAAGTATGCATATCTATTTTTAATTGTCAAAAAGTATGATAGAATCTAAGGAAAGCCCCTCAATTTTCTCCTAAGGCAATCATGGAAATTCTATACCTAAATGTAATTTCTAATTTTAATACAATATATAAATGTACACTATGTAAAGATATGCTTTTCAATCATCAGAAAGTATGATGGGATCTAGGAAAAGCACTTCAGTTTCTCCCCAGGTGACACGAACTTCTGCGTGGGGCTGCAGTGCTGCGCTGTAATCCTGAGCAGCGGGTCTCAGGGCGAGAGGTGGCCGGGGCCCCTAGGCCAGGGACGCGACCGCTTCTGCTGCCTGCTGCTTTGTGGGCCCCTGGAGCAGGACATTTCCGGAGTGAACGGGCGAATGTAGCAGAGGGGCCCGGCACAGGTAGGACCGTGGGCAGGCTGGCCCGGGTCCCTGTCTCCCACGCACGGCCTCTCCTGCAGAGCAAGCGCGTGTCCGGCCGCTTCTCACGGAGGTCTTAGCACGACTCCTGACGTGATTTTTAAATCAGCGGCCCGGTAGCAGCCTCCTCCCGCAAGCCCTGGGAGTCGAGTCTTCGTCCCTAAAGAGCCCGCTCTGCGACTGGGCCGCGCGCCGTGCCGGCCCTGTGAGCAGACAGGAGGGCGCAGGAGGCTGAGGCGGGCTTGTCTCCGGCGTCCCTCCAGGCTGCAGCCCTCCGAGCCTCGAGTCCACGAGGGCACCGCCTTGCCCTTCCTCCCCACGGAAGTGGTGCTTGCTAGGGTAGAACGTGTGAAAACGCTGGGAGTCAAAAGCAGAGTCCACGCCGGTTCCCAGGCCGGCACCAGGAGCGTCCAGCGAGCCTGCAGCTGCAGCTCCCCGCTTCCCAGCGGCGGCCCGGCAGGCAGCCGAAGCGTGCTCTTCCAGGTCACTTCATATAGCTGTAGTTGGCTTGGAAATGGACTTAATCGATGGCTAGGGTAGTTTATGTTTAAGTAGCTTATTGTTTTCAGGAAAAATAGTCCCGTGCTGATTGAGGGAGTGGGCTTTGCTGCGGGCCTGGGTTTGAGTCCCGCTCCGGCACGGCACTGCGGGGCGCATAAGCTCCTGTCGCCTCCTCGGCGGGGAGAGCGAGGAAGCCCCGACCCGCAGCCCCCTGCAGGACCCAGCCGGACTCTGGCACGGCACCCAGCCCACCGGAAGCCCTCTGCGCGCATTAGCATAATGATCGATCGGCAAGAAAAACACAGACGATACAGGGAAGCATAAGGCGGAAAATCGGCTTGCCGTCCGACCCCAGAGGTGCGGGGTGCTCCGCGTCGCACTAGCGTCGCGCACGTGTTCCCGACCGCCAGGCGGAAACCCCTGCCGTGCAGGCTGCCACCCTTCACCGAAGCGCTGAGCCCGGCCACGCAGACCCGCCGGGCCCCGCACCCGGCGGGCAGCAGCCGGGAAGAGCCTGGGGCGCCGGCCTCACCCTCAGCTGCGCGGTCGGTCGGGAAGGGTGGGGAACCGCGGCCCGGTTCCCGAGTCGCGGCTGACCCTGGCCGTTCCGGACCTCACCTCACCTGCATCCCTCTGCTGGCGCTGAGGCTGAGAGCGAAGCAGCTGGAGTCCGGGGCTGCCGCCGCCCTGCAGGGAGGGCCGCGCGCTGCTCCCTGCGGTGTGGCAGCTCTCAGCCTCGGGGGCCGGATGGCCGGTGTTTACAGTGCGGCCCGGACCCAGCAGCTGGGGCTGCAGCCGCTTTACCGCGCCCCGGCCCTAAAGAGGAGCTTGACTGCCGCGGGAGGAGGACGTTCCTTTGCTCACTCTGCCTCTCTCCTCGCGTCTTCTCCCCTTCTCCCTTTTCAGCTAACTTCCTGCTCCCTTCCCTTCCTTCCCGTCCTCTTCCGCTCTCCTCTCTCTCTCTACTTCCTTCTAGCTTCCGGAGCAACATACTTTTGGGGAAAGTTTTAACAAGAGACAAGTTCTTTAATTTTAGAGTGAGGAAGATTTTTTTTCTCTTTTGCCAAAGATTTATTTGCAGCTCAACTAGTGAAATAGGGGGCCTAAGGCTTTTTTCTTGTTCAGGCCAAGCGTCCATGGAAAGCTCTGAAAGAGATAATAGGCCTCTTGGGAGCGTATTTTTGGAACGGGAGGGTTGGATTGGGTTTCTCCCTCCCGGGGCAGTCTGCCGCAGGCCCTGCTGGGACCAGGCCATTCCTCCAAGCCGAGGAAGAAGTGGCCCTCAAAATGGGCGGGAAGAGGGCCAAGCCCCGCGTGCACTCTGACAGTGTCGGTTCTGTGGTCTCCTCTGGGGTCAACATGTTGCACAAGATGAGGGCCCACGGCCTGTAATTAGGGTCCTCGTTTAATCTCTGCCTATTTATTGGGAATGCAATAGAGTAGTGTAGGTGACAGCATGAATCTCCGCTGTTGAAATGCTTTGTGTCCTCGGGAATGAGACTTCTCCGGGAGCCTGCATCTCATCTTCTCTAGTGACGGGAGCAGTAGTGATAAAGCAGTGTGTGCCAAAGGCCTTGAATGGTGCCTGCCTCGCCAGTTTGCAGGCCTCAGTAGTAATTACTAATAATTCAGTTAGCTGTGAATTCACCTCATCAAATTTCCATCCAGCCCAGGCCTTCCACATGGAGAAGCACGTCAGTTTATCAAATGTTCTTGCCAGAATTGAAGTTCATAAGGTTTGGAATGTTTTATTGATCTATCAAAAATCAGTGGATGCAAAAGGAAACAGAGTTACACCAACATTGAGCCGGAAAATGATTTCTGAGCAAAAAAAGTTTTTCCTGCAGCTAGCTGACCTGACAAAGAGCCAGCTCAGCTCATACCCCTCCCACACCTAACTCACGTCCTCCTTAGTTGTCCTTTGTGCTCAGGAAGTGTCTGTATCCAGTGTGCTTTTGTATCCAATCGTGTAAACTAAATGTAATGTCCTCAACCAATAAACCGATGTTAAGTGCCCTGCTTCTGTGTCCCCACTCCCTTCCCTTAACCCATGTAAACCCTGTTCCCTGCCAGCTCCAGGTGGATAGTTTTGTAGAGAAATCTCCAGTCAGTCTGCTGTGTAATAAACTTGCCTCCAACCTCCGGGTATGTCCTCAACTCTTCTTGGCTTGATCTTGCTGTACCACTAAGATCTGCCACACTGTGGACTATAATCTGCTGTCAACATGATTTGACCCTCTGCAGGATCCCAGCCCTTTCTGGCTGAGCTCTCTTCTCAAATGTTCATAAAATGTGTGTAATGGTTGGGTTCTGAATGCTAGATCCATTGCCTTCTAGATTTTAGAATCCACATTTTTCTCATTTTTGAAAACTGGAATAACACACTCCTGTCTTCAAGTACTGGCCTTGCTCCCAGTCTCTGATTTTGTTCAGATTTCTGACAGTGGTTTTGTAATCACATCTGCAAATTCTTTTTGTATCCTAGAATTTAATCCAACTTGAACTCATTAAGTATCTAGCTCCCCTCTTATTATCTCTTATACAATCTTGGGCTACAGTTCCCTCTCTAAAAATGTTTCTTTCAAAAATTTGTATAAAACTAATGCATGGTCATGTTTGAACATATAAAAAATATGGTTAGGCAAAATGAAGAAGTCAAACCGTCATTTGGATACCCTAGCATGCAGACGTAATGATGCTTCCTGATTGGAGATGCTTGCAGTATTTCTGTGCACGAATGTGCGTGTTTGTATGTGTATGTGTGTAGACATAGTTGTGCATGCTGTTGGATAAAGCATGAACATATTTCCGTGCAATTAGCTCTTTTCCTATGTAATGTTAGCATTCAGTTCCATTACAGTCGTGGGAGACAATGCTCGCTGAGCTCTACCCCTCTGGGTGAGCACACTGGCTTCGGGTTATTTGCTCTAGTATGGTTGCAACAGGGACAACTTTGGGAAAGGACCGTAAGGAAGATGCCCTGAAGTGAAGAGGTTTCAGGGGCAGAGAAGGCAGATGTCAGGGTGAGGGGCCCAGGTTGATGCAGCCCTCACATGGGGTGCTCCACTCTGCAAGGTTAAATTCGACGTGGGATACAATGCCTAGAGCACTTGGGGTTGGTTCCTAGGAACTGCCCTGTAAATAGTAGCTATTTTTGCAACTATCTGTATGTTAGAAGATCCTGTGGGACTCAAAGTGTATGTATTTGGAAAGTAAAGATTATTAGAAAGCAATCATTCCCTTAATTTGAGGATTTATATTTTGAGTTCAGCACAGAGTGAATGAGATGAAATAGCTCACTGTAAATAATATTAGTGTGAGATTTCATGTAGAGGCAGTGGTATGATATGTACACTGAGTTCTGCTATAGTGAGACATGTGTCCTAAAAATTGTCAGGCTTTGCAGGGCTGCAAAAGAAACACTGAGGAGCTTGTGGGAAAAACAACTATGGCAGTGATTCCCCACCACTAAGAAAACTGTTAGATTATTTTGCCCCTCTCCCCGGGAACATTTGGCAATATCTACAGTCATTTTTGGTTACTACAATGTGGCGCCAGGGTGGTGCTTTTAGTATCTCCAGTGGGTAGGGGCCAGGCCAAGGTTATTGCTAATAGCCTATAATTCATGGGCCAGTTCCACCTCGACCCCCAGCGAAGAATTATTGAGCCCAAAATGTTAGCAGTACTAAGGTTCAGAAACCCTAGGTTTGGGGCACAGCGTTCAAAAACTTTTTAGTGATATGTTAAAAAGAAAAAAACAAAAAGAAAAAGAGATAAGAATCCAATAAAATCAGTAGCACCATTTAGCCCATGTGAAATGGTACAGAAATGAATAAATTCAACAATAAATAGTCACAGCCTTGAAAGTGGCTTGACATTTGCTTTCAGGAGACATTTGAGCTGCTGCAGTGTGGTGGAAGGGGTCATCTGAAGTCTCGAGTAGAGCAGACCCTGCTGTGCATAGGAGTGGCTCTTTGCACCAGGGGGACCCATGGTAGGTACTGGCAGCAGGTTGTGTAGGCTGTGTATAGTCCTGTGAGGATCTGTTTGGGGGATCTATTTTCTGCATAGTGTTTTGGGGCATAAGGTTGTGCATCAACAAACATAGTTTTGCTTATGTTCAACTTGTTCCCTAATATGTCAATGGCAATGGGGGAAATTCACGTTTTCAAAACAAGCTTTGTAGCAAAACTGAGTTTACTAAAACTGTAGCTCATTATGGAAGAGATATTTAACCCATAGAATTTAACCAACAGAAATGTTTCAGGGAATAAACTGGGGCCTGCTCAATAACCCTCTTTCACATGCTGTTGTAGAGTACAAGACTTTTCTGTGACCCTGGCAAACAGCCCATACTATTTATACCAAACTCTATTTAAATCCTGTACAATGTTGAAATATTTAAGGGTAAAATTATATGCAATTTGGCATTTGCTTCAAAATATTCTGGGTAGGGACAGCAAGTAGGAGGAGCTGAGAGGAAGTAAGATT